CATCCACATTATTGAGGTCACAAGTCCATTTTAGTATTTAGAATACCCATTTATTAAGCACTTACAATGTGCCAGGCACTATGCTAAGCAAAATACAAATATGTTCTCATTTACTCGCATATATTTATATAGTCCTTTAAGGCAGCTAGATGGCACAAAAGGTAGAGTGCTGGGTCTGGAGTCAGGAAGAATTCTTGTTCCCGAGTTCAAATCTGGACTCAGACCCTTACTAGCTGTGTTGTGACCCTGGGCACCATCTGCCTCGGTTTACTCATTTGTAAAATTACCTGGAGAAGGAAATGCAAACCACTCCAGTATCTTTGCCAAGAAAACCCCCAAAAGGGTCACAAAGAGTAGGATATGACAGAAAAAAAGACTGAAGAACAACAACATATAGTCCCTTACAAAGTATTTTCACTTATATAATTTGAACAGAAAACAACCCTGCAGAATAGATGCTTGCAGGAATTACAGATTTTACAGATAAGAAAACTGAAGTTTATAGAGATTAAATGGCATGCTGAAAGTTACACAGTAATTAAGTGGTGAGGGTAAGTTGTAAACCAATGTCTTTTGAATGCAAATCCTGCTCAATTCAAATCCATTATAACACGGTGCAGGTTGAAAATTGAAACATAAATCGAGAAGGTTTTAGAGCAAATTATTAATGGTAGATGAATAATGGGTTGATGAAGGCATCTAAGGATCCAAATATTTAGAGAAATCATATAATCCAACTGCCTCATTTTATAGATAAGGAAAACTGAGACCCAGAAAGACTGCCTATGGTCAAACAGTTAATAAGTAGCAGTCTTAGGATTCAAACCCAGGGCCTCTGACATCAAATCAGGACTCTACTCTGCAATGCACTCAGTGCATAGCTTTCTTAACTCCGTGAAACTAAAAATAAGGAGAACAACCAAATCCTCCAGCAAATAATCAGGACCAGAATATTAAACAGGATCATATGTAAGCTGGGTCTGGCTCGGCATGGGATTTATCACCTTTGATAGTTACCTCCTAGAAGTATGGTGGAAACTCAGCCACTGAAAAAGGTAATGAGTCTCTGGTGTAAAAGCAAGATCTAAAGTTAATTGAAAAATTATACCAAAAGAAAGTTAATGGATCCATGACTTTTCTTTTTCTTGTGTGATGGGAAGTTAGTCAACATTTATTGAACATCTTCTACGTACAGTGTAATCTACTAGATACTCTGGGGAGGAAAATGGCAACTGAAAATAACTTCACCCTCTCCCTCCACCTTCAAGAAAACTAGTAGTAATATAAACACTGGAAAAAACAAATGCAGACACAAAAGACAAAAGTAAACATAAACAGCTATTGCTTAACAGCTCCAGGTCATCAAATATTCTCCCAAATGCAGGGCCCTCACTTGTTTTTTTCTTTTTTTGAGAGGCAATTGGGGTTAAGTGACTTGCCCAGGGTCACACAGCTAGTAAGAGTCTGAGGTCACATTTGAACTCAGGTCCTCCTGACACCAGGGCAGGGGCTCTATCCACTGCACCACCTAGCTACCCCTGGCCCTCACCTCTAAACACCTGCTGAATATCACCACCTAAATGTGCTACTGACATGTCAAACTCAATCTATACAAAAGTAAATTGTTCATTTCCCACCCATCAAGAACTAAAACAGCTTCTCCTGACTGCCCTATTTCATGGAACCACTTCTCTCCCAATCACCCAACTTTGAAATCTTGGGCATGTCCACCTGATGAAATCCAGCTCAGGTGCAGATTCCTTGTGAAACCTCTCCTGAGCACACCTCATTCCAAGGCAGACCCCACCCTTATCTCAGTTTAGTTATTCCCATGCATAGTCTAACTTCCAATGTGGTTAACTCTCTATCTTACATACTTATCTGCCTACTAGATTATAGATTAGGACCATGTCTTAGTGATTTTGTCCTTCATATCTGTATTCCAGAATTAAGCACCATGTACTCCATTATGCACAATAAACACAATTAATAAACAGTTTGCTAACTTAAGGCATGTGAATGTAATAAAATGTTACCATGCCATAAGAAATGATGAAATGGACAGTGTCAGAGAAAACTATGAAGACCTCTGTGAACTCATTCAGAATGAGGTGAAGAGAACTAAGAGAATGATTAAAACAGTAACGTTGGAGGGGGGGGGAAAACTCTGTCCCATTGGTAAGAGGACCAGTGGGAAAATATTTTTTTTTAATTTAAAAAAAAGGGTGGTTGTTAAATTAAGTCATCTTTGATTCTTTCTTCTTCACCTGGTCTCTTACATCCAATCAAATGCCACTAATTCTCTCTTCATTAGTTTTTTGTTTCTACAAGATCCTTTCCATTTCTACTGCCACTGTATTAGTTCATATCCTCTTTACTTCTCACCTAGATTATTGCAATAATATATTTCCAGGAATATGCTGGTGGATGTTTAACAACCAGTTCTCTAGGGAGAGGGGGTGGACACACAACACACTTAAATTTAATCGGCATTATTAAAATTTTCTCCATCATGTCCCTAAGCATAGACAATCAACAAAACAATAAATCAAGCCTTAATTTGTGACATTTGCCAATTTTTGAAATGCAAATGCTCACACTGAAAATTTAACAATAAGGTTTTACCAATGGTACAAAGCTATTCCAGCACACCACCGTTCATTTCCCTGCTTCTAATCTGCATTATTAAAATTTTCTCCATCATCTTCTTAAGTATAGAAAATCAATAAATCAAACACTAATTTAACATTTGCCAATCTCTGAGATGCAAATGCTCACACTGAAAATTTAACAATCAGGTTTTACCAATGGTACAAAGCAGCTCTAGAACCCCACTGTCTGTTTTCCTGTTTCTAGCCTTTCCCTCCTCCCATGCATCCTACACACCATACAGATTAAGTTCCTTAAAGCACAACGTTTGATGACATTCCCCTCCCCTCATAAACTTCCGTAGTTTCTCATTCACTAGCCTCGCATTCAAGGCTCTACATAAGCTAGCTCTAACCCAGCCTTATCTGCTACTCCTTTTTATTCATCCTATGCTCTCATCATACTGAATGCTGTTCTCTGAAGACATCCTGGGTATTCCCTCTTTAATGCTTGTGTTCCATTGTTCCCTGTGTCTAGTATGTTTCCCCTCCTTCTCCCATCCTTTCCGCACTTTGTGTCCCTGTCTAAATCCTATAAAATCTTAAGATTACCTTGAGTATAAATTCTCCTCTGAGCACCATGCCTCACCCCACCCCGCCCCATCCCTTAACCAAAATGAAGCATATGTCTCTGAGCTCTCAAAGAACATCTCTTAGGGCACTTAACATATTAGTTCTCATGTCGTAGTTGATCAGATAAATGATTTATTTTGCTTATTAGGCTGTGAGCTACTTAAGGGCATATCTAGTCATCCCTGTTATCTCCCACTGCTTCTAGAATCTGATAGACATTCAATAAATATTTGTCAAAGGTTTTTCAAATTATATTGTTGAGTCTAGCAGTTTCCCTACTGCTAAAAGCTCTGTTCCTCCAATTGCTAATACCTTTTTTTAAAAAATCCATTAAAAGCCCTTAATGAGGAGTCCAGATATCCCCGAACTATATACAAGTCATTAGTTGAAGACAGAAGCATCAATACAAGCTGCTATATGCTATTAATTTACTGTTGAATTCAGTAGAATATATAAAAGGATCAGAAAACCTTAGCTAACTGGAGTGTTCATAGTCACTATTTTTTTTTTTTAGGATAGAAGTTATATGTGAAAGTTAGAACAGGTTAGAACCATCCAAAATTTAAATCCAATTCAACAAAACTTCAGTTTTCCAGAAACGGGGTATTCCACATTTTACTGCCATTAAAGCAACACCAATAAAATGTTAGTATTAAAAAAGGGGGGCTTTTTGCTTTCAGGAGAAGGTTAAGGTCAGTAAGACAGTTTTGCAACACACCCCTCCCCCCAAGAAAATCCAGCCTGTTCCACTGAAGGCCCAGCTCATTGTCCATCTCCAACCCATGAAATACACATGGGCGGAAGCCAGTACAACAATAAAAACAACTAGCAATTTTTTCATTTATAGCAAATATAAAATAAGAGGAAATGTAATTAAGTTTGTAGCATTTCCATAAATGGAGCCAGTTACTAGAAGATGTTATGCAATCTCCTTTGGAAATTACTGTATCAATCAATCAATCAATCAATCAACTAACCAACATTTAATGAGCATCTACTACATGCTAGGTACTAGAGATATAAATATCAAAAAGATTTTTTTAAATGAAACAACTCTTTCTTTCAAAGAGCTTACATTTTAACAAGTGACAGCAAATACAAATAGAAGTATATACAAAGTGTACGTGTGTGTGTGTGTGTGTGTGTGTGTGAAATAGCAGATAAAGAGTAAACACTCATCTATGTATGACAGTGTTTTTGGAATTATACTTGAAGAAGAGAAATAAATCAGTTCAACTTGTGAGGCTAATTTATGACACAGGGCAAGAATGTGTAGCAGTTTGACCTGACTGTCTTCAAGAATGTGGGGGTGGTTTAAGATTACTATCTTCCCCACACCTTTTAAAAAAGACAGTTACTGAATATTTGCTATATGTAAATCACTGTACTTTGGAGCAATCCTGAAACTTCTGAAGCAGGGGAGAAAGGGGTTAAGAATGGTGATGATAAAGTACAATTTTAGAGAATCATGGGGTAATATGGAAAATTATATATATTATGTTATGAATTACATATCTTATTAACTTACCTTATTTTGTCAGTATCCATTTATATCTTTTAATGTTCATTCTACATTTTAGCATTTAAAAATAACAAAATTGGAATTTCTTTTATAATATTCTTTAATTTTGACTTTTACTGTTCAAATGGCCTTTCCCTCCTTTATTGTGAAGTAATATTTCGTAAATAACACCTGCCTTCATTATCCAAAGATTCAAAGATATTGTCAAGTGAATGCTTAGCTCTAAGATTCATCCAATATTAAAAGAAATTCATTACCTCATCGTAATTATGCTCAAAAAGCACAAATTGCCGGTCAGGAGAGACATAATAATCAGTTACTATATACCCCAATTTATCCTGCCAACAAAGAAAAAATAAATAAATTCAAGAACTTGTAATAATAGTAATATTTTATGGAAAATATTTCTCCAATGTATGAAACAATTATACGGTTAAGCATACTATGGTGCTGTTATCCACGAGAATATAACTGGTTCCCAATTCAGCATTAAACACCATAACATTGTTTTCTCTTTTATGAAGATATTCAGTATCTAAAAAGAGGAAGTAAATAGGGTTTCATGTCACTTATAACTTATTTAGCACACAGTAAATAAACATCTCAAACAAAGACTTAAGATTAAGGAAGTAGTTCTTAACTATAACTTTTTTTCTGTAGAAATTAGGGACTTCATTACTACTGGCAGGTACCTTCTCTTCAATTTAGTCTGAGAAAGTTGCCTAGAGTTACTTAGAGATTAAGTGCCTTGTCCAGGGTCAAAAGTGGGATCTGAACCCACTTCTCGCTGGCTCTAAGGCTAGCTCTCTATCCACTGCCTTAAATTAAATTAATTAAAAATAAATTTATTAAAAATAAAATTAAGAAAGAAAAATGTTCTAAGTGGGGAAACACTGAATGGGTTATATATTTATGTGCTGGTCCAATTGGGTGTGTTAATATAATTCCTTAAAATAAGTCCATTCTATGAAGGCCCCCTATTTTTATTTTTTTTTATTTTTCTCTAGGAAGACCTGGGTTCAAGTTCTGACTGATAGTAACACTGGGTGGCTTTGGTAAGGCACTTCACCTCTAAGTGCTCTAGGTATCTCTCTAAAACTTCAACTGGATGAGCTGGTAAAAATATGCTCACCTTGTGCTCCCAACTCAATAAAACCACAGGTCTAGTCCTGATCCAAAGCTTCCATTCAGCTTGATCCTTCTTAGCTATTTTCATTAGCTTATTAGCTTTTATTTTATTAACTTATTAACTTTTATTAGCTTGCAGATTTCTCCATTCTTTGCATTCTTTCTTTCACCCCTCTCTCCATTACTCTCTTGTCTAGAGTAATTAATCCACCATAATGTTACAAAATTCTGACAAACAGCAACAGTATTTTGATATTTTAAACATTCCTTCTGGGCACCTCCCTAACTTAATTTATAAACATGTAATTTTGAAAGCAAGAAGGAACTTTTAAAAAAGAAGAAATGTTTACCTGAAATCCACCTTAAAGGATAGGACTTTATTCTGTAAGTGTTTTTCAAATAATCATACAAGGAATAGGTTTTCCGAAGGTCATTTTCAGCTTCTGTTATTAGAAAGAAAACACATGTTTTTGTAAAGTGTCAATAACTCATGTTTCAAACTTAATAATTAATTTTCAAGGGAGAAACTAAACCAATTTCTCAAAAAATATGCAGTTTAACTATTACACAAGAAGTAGAGAGCTAGCCTTGGGATGAGGAAGACCATTATCACTGTCACATACTTGGCGACCTTTGGCAAGTTACTAAAATTTCTCGTGCCCCAGGCAACTCTCCAGGACTTTAAGTTTAAGTTGCCCGCCCCCCCCAAAAAAAGCAGATTTGTATAAGCGAAAGGAGTTTTCTCACCATAAATTCCCTACCATCAGTTAAAACACAAGTATGAAGCAAAAACAAACAAAATGTCCGTAACAAAGTATGATACATAAAACAAAGTTAAAAAAAAAAAAGATGGAAATACTTTAGTAAGGATGAATTTGTCACTGTTTCTGTATGTGATGCATGTGTGAGTGCTTTCCTAAGTTAGTGAATGTTTTTTAGGCAGGTCCAGAAGTCCTCTTTAAAGACCAGAGACCTATTTTTCCACTTTTATATTCAATTCTAAAAGAACACAATCAAACTCTGCACCTTATCAACACACACAGCTATTAACCCTTCAAGAATTCAACTTGGTGTTCCCCCTTTCTGATCACAGCCACCTTTCCATTTGTCCTTCCTCCGGCACCCCACCCTACCCCACCCCCAAAAATGTTCACCCTCACCATAACTTTTAGTTGCATTGCCCCTTTCCATTGACTCAGTCCACTTAATCCTTCACACTACTCAGCAACAGTCCTTATACCCTGGCCTCCCTTGCTTTTTTAACCTTCTAGTCCATCTTTGTGTTAATCCTCAACCTGGATCACCCCCACTATGAGTTTTTCATTCCTGTCTTTGGGTCAAAGAACTAAACCAATCTGGCCCACTACAAAGTCAAACTGACCAAACTCAATGAATCTTCACTGTTTGTCAGTTATCTTTTTATATTGATCTTGCTAACTGCCCCGCACAATTTTAAGATAATGGCTATTGTAAAATGAATTTTATTTTCTTCCATCTTCTCTGATGTAATAATAGTTAACAATATAGCTAATATTTAATACAGCACTTACTATGTGCTAAGCACTGCACTGACTGCTTTACAAATATTACATTATCTCAACAACCTTGGGAAGTAGGTGCTATTATTATCCCCATTTTACAGATAAAGAAAATGAAGCAAACAGAGGTTTGATTTGCCCAGAGTCACACAGCTAGTGTCCGAGGTTGGACTGAACTCAGATCTTCTTGACTCCAAAACTGGCATTCTATCCATTGTACTCACAATGGATAGACAGGGAGGGATAAATGGATAGAGTTCTATCTTCTAAATATCTCTGTTTTCATCTTCCCAATTATTCTACATCAAAAGGAAGATGGGTCCTCTTTATGAAGACTAACTCTTTTACCTGATCTCCTTGATCCTGGAATAACACAACACTCAATACCCCCAGAAAGCATACCCAAAAGGACAAAAGCTTTGCTCAGATATCATCTCCTCACCTCCCCGCTAGAAGTGCACAGAGCCCAACCCTAACACAAAGTCCAAAATAAAAAGGTGAGCTATAAGCATTAGCTGGCAAACAAGCAAGCCAACAAAAGAATCCCACCAATAAAGAGGCTATTATTGTGACAGGGAAGCCAAAGATAGAAATTCAGAAGAGAATGACTCCAAAACATATGCAGGCAAAACCTTAAGGTAAATCAGAATTCCTAGAAGAAATGAAGCAAGAGATTTAAAAAGCTAAAAATGATTTTAAAAAACAAATGATAATGTGGGGGGGGATATGAAAAGAATTGAGAACTATGGAAGAAAGATTTGGAAAGACTATTAACAGCTTGGATCAGGAAATGCAAAAGTTTCTCCAGGGGGGAAAATACTTCTTAATAATTAGAATTGATCAAATAGAAGGTAATGACTTCATGGGATAACAAGAACTATTATTAAAACTAAGTCAAAAGACAAAAAAGGAGGAGGAGAAAGAAGAGGAGGAGGAAGAGGAGAAGAAAATGTAAGGTGTCTCAGCAAAAACAAAACACTTGGAAAACAGATCAAGGAGAGAGAATTTAAGAATCATTGGACTACCTGAAAGGCATGAACAAAAAAAAAGAGCCTAGACATCACATTTCAAGAAATCACAGGGGCAGCTAGGTGATGCAGTGCAGAGAGCACCAGCCCTGGAGTCAGGAAGACCTGAGTTCAAATTCGCCCTCAGACACATAACACTCAATAGCTGTGTGGCTCTGGGCAAGTCACTTAACCCCAATTGCCTTACCCCCCAAAAAAATCATAAAAGAAAATGTTTCAGATCTCTTAAAACCAGTGAGCAGAGTAGAGAAACCTTGACCATTGGTCACCTCCTGAAAAAAAAAAAAAATGAAAACTCCTAGTAATGGTTACAGCTAAAATTCATAGCTTCTAGGGCAAAAAAAAGTCTTTGCTCTATTGGACCCCACCTCTTCTAGGGACCTATACAGTCAATGTGAGTCTGACTGTCACACTATCCAAGTGGGGAAAGAGGATAGGGTCACCAGTAAGGATTGCCTTCTCCTGGACCTGTACAGTCCACAAGACTCAAAATTGTAGGCTGACCTTGAAAGAAGACCAATGACAACATGGGAGATGTCTTCACTTATGTATGCACTGGATTTAAGTGAGCAAGATCTCATTCTCCTGGAATGGGCCCGGGACCTCATCTTGCCCCTAGGTTTGGTCATCTTTCGGTTCTTCAGTGCTGGAATACTCTGCAGCTGCATGATCCTGGCCAGACCCAGTCCCCAGTGTCTGCAGACCTCTCTGTCTGCCTATCTATGCCAATTTGGACTGGAAAAATGACTCATGATTTTTTCCTCAAATTTCCCGGTCAGGACTTAGTCTAGTACATTTTCTAAGTCTTTGTGGAGGAATTGTGTTGGAGGAACTTCCTGCTGCTATATCATCTTCACAATATGTTTTCTTGACAATCTAAAACTTTGAGTGCTGTTTTTTCATGTGAGATACCTTTTTCGGAGTGCCATATGTGGAAGCTTGATGTTTGCATGGCAAGTTAGGGACCTCTAGAATAAGCCAAAAGCAGATGTTCCCAGGAGAGGCCCTGAATGAATGCACAAGCTCTCAGAACTAAATCATATGCCTCCTAGAAGAAAGGAGTCTAGGACTATGCCCTTTCACCACCAATGATGATGTGTGATTTTCTCTCTGTTGCAGAATATAAACTAAGGCATACACCACAAGCACAGAAAAATATAATTGTAGGAGATCTACGATTGGCGGCTGCTAGAGTACCAGGCCTGAAGTCAGGAAGATTTCTCTTTCAGAGTTGAAATCCAGCCTCAGGCACTTACTAGCTAGCTGTGTGACCCTGGGCAAGTCACTTAACCCTACTTGCCTCAGTTTCCTCATCTGTAAAATGAGCTGTAAAATGGCAAACCACTCTAGTATCTTTGCCAAGAAAAGCCTAAAGGGGGCCGCAAGAGTAAGAAATAACTGAAAAACAATTAAACAACAAAAGCAAGGAGAGCTACTAGATATGTATTCTAATATCCTAATTTTATAGATGAAGCAATTGAGGACCAGCTAGGGGAAATGTTTTCATCTCCACACTGCTGCTTCCCAGTTGTCAATAGCCATACTGCCCTTCTTTAAACTGATGAGCTACATTTCTTATAAGATTCCTTTCCATCCTGCTTTGTAAGAGGCTAACTTTAGCCTTCCTGTTATCTTTCATCTACAGAAGTCCAGGCAGCCAGTGATGAATCTCTCTAAGCATTACAAAAAAACACACAATGCTCATTATTGCCTTGCTCTCTGATCACGGTGGAAAGTGGGCCATTATTTGTAAAACTTTTGAAGAACATGGTTGTGATGTCTATGCCAACTGCAAAGTCATGACCTCTTCACAGACTGAAATTTGGTGCCAAGTTGACATCATATTCCAAGTCTCTTAAAGGAGTTCTCATTTCTTCCTCCATGTCTACTTGTCACTTTCTAGTGCTGGCAAGTAAAGCAAATTGCTACATTAGCAGATGATGAAAGGCTTTCAATGCTTTTATGGTTTTCCTAGTGGATATAGGTATGTGATATTCATTAGTCTTCAGCCTTACCAATATATCAGCCCAGTGCTTATTACGTAAATGGAGTTAGCAACATAGTTTGAATTCAATTTCCAGAACTTTAGCAAATAGAATATTTTTCTGAAAGATTAGAAGAATAAACTTTAAATTCGGTGATTGTCAAATTTCATATATATAGCTTATCTACTTCACCAAAAAACTGTCATATTCCCTACATTTTTAAAAAGACAATCTATATAATTTTCTTAGCTCATATTTTATTCAAATATAATCAATAATATGTTGTAATTTCATAACTCAAAATTTTGTTAAAATACAATAAAATAGGTTGGGGAAAACAGTCTATTACATTATACTTATCAAAATTAATAAACTTTAAAATGTAAGAGATAGGTACAGGGTACTTTTACTTCATATAAAGGTTGTTTAACTTTGAATTTACATGCCTCTCATCCTAATGCAGCTCATCTACAACGTTAGCCAACGTGATTGATGGTGACAGTGGCAGATTTCATCAAATGAAATCTATAGATGAGCATTAATGTTCTAGGCACTACATTAGGTGCAAGAAATACAAATATAAAATGATGCAGTTTCTGTCTTCAAGAGCTTACTTTCTACTCAGAGGACACAACATAACCACTGAGACCCTGTCCATATAGCAACCCTTTTCTACAGCCCCAGAGGTAGTAATAGTCCATAAGAAAAGACCTCCTAGACATATTTGTACAAAAATATTTATAGCAGCTCCTTTTGTGGTGGCTAAGAATTAGAAATTGAGGGGATACCCATCAATTGGTGAACAGCTGTACAAGCTGTGGTATATGACTGTAATGGAATACTACTGTGCTCTAAGAAATGATGAGCAGGATGATTTCCAAAAAACTTGGAA